GAGCTCCTTCTTCCCCGAAGCCTCGGCAGCATCTGTTATTATCTGACTTCTTGATGATGCCATTCTTTCTGGAGTAAGATGGAATCTCAGTGTTGTTTTAATTTGCATTTCTCTAGTGGCCAGCAAAAGCATTTCTTCATGTATTTATTGGACATTTGTACATCTTCTGTGGAGTGCCTATTTATTTTGCATGCTCATTTTTGCTTGGGTTTTTTATTCGAGGGAGTCGAATATTTTTGAGTTCTTTATGTATTCAAGATATGAGTCCTCTGACTGAGGAATAGCTGGCAAAAATTTTCTCTAATTCTGCAAGTGGTCTTTCCCTCTCTTAGTTGTTTCTCTTGCTATGCAGAAGCTTTTAATCTGATAAGACGCCATTTGGATTTTATGAAAGGCCTTTTCTGTGTCTTTGAGATGATCATGTGATTTTTGTTCTTGGTTCTGTTTATCTGATGTATGTATTGATTTGCCTATGTTGAACCATCCTTGCATCCCTGGGATGAAGCCTATTTGGTCATCAGGGATGATATTTTTGATGTATTCTGTTTGGCAGTATCTTGTTAAGGATTTTGGCGTCCATACTTATTAAAGAGATAGGTCTATAATTCCCTTTTTTGGTTGGATATTTGTCTGGTTTTGGAATCGGGGTAATAGTAGCTTGCAGGAATGACTTGGGGAGTACTACCTCCCCTTTCAACTTTATTAGAAAGCTCCAGCAGATTGGTGTCTGACGTGGACTAAGCATCTTTACTCTGTCATGCCCTCGCATCATGATGTTCCTGCCATGGAGCCAAGTGACTATGGACTGGATCCCCAAGGCCGTGAGCCAAATTAAATCCCTCCTTTAAGTTGTGAGTGTTGAATATTGTGTCCCAGTAACAGGAAAGCTGACCAGTATGGAAAGCTGGTGTTAGAGAAGTGTGGCCATTGCTGTGACTATGCATGACCACATGGTTGAGAAGCCTGTGGAACTGGTTGGTGGGAGGAGTTTGAAAAAGTTTGGATATGGAGGCTTGAGAAGCTTTAGAATGCTGGAAGCAGAGCCTGATGAATCATTCTGGTTAGAGACCAGGGGACTAGGATAGGAATGGAGTTTGTTTGTTCTGTGTTTTGAGACAGGGTCTTGCTTTGTAGTGCAGGCTGGCTTTGAATTCACTGTGTAGCCCAGGCTGGTCTGAAACTTGCATTGATTCTCCTTTCTCGGCCTCCTGAGTACTGGGATTACAGGTGTGTGCTAGGAATGTTGATAGTAAAGATCAGGCTCAGGTTTCAGCTGGGAACAAGGACTCCATTGGCAATTGGACTGTGTGTTAGACTCTGGCAAAAAGTTTGTTTACGTTTTATCTGGGACCTGAGACTGCAGGAGAGTGAAATTATGGGCTATAGACTAATTGATCTGGTAAAGGAAATTTCAGTGAAGCCTAACATTCATTGGCTCTGTTCAGCCAAGTTTATAGTGAGAATCAGGGGCAAACCCCGGAAAACATTAAATTAAATTTTCACTCAGAAGAAACTATGTGTAAAATTGCGGCCTAAGGAGGAGTGGCTGCTGAAGAGATTAGTGCTGTTAAGAAGGAACCAAGTACTTTGTACACTGACAAAAAGAAAGATACCTTGAAGGCTTCTCAGAAATCAGTAAGACCATACCCATCACAGGCTCAAAGGTACAAAGGTGTCAACCTTTCATTTGCAAGGAGTCCCTGGGACTCCTGCTCCAGAAGGGCTCCCTTAGGAATTGGTTTCCTGGGATTAATTTCACTGGGCTTAGCCATCCAGGCACTTAGCAGCTGCTGCAGCCATGATTCAAGGGGGCCTTGTTCCTGCCTATGCTGGTGGCAGACTTTGGCATTGTTCATGTGATGCTGGTTTTACGAGCTTTAAAAATGTAAGAGTTGAGCTATATGCTCAGTGGCATAAGCGCCTGCCTGGCAAGTGCAAGGTCATGAGTTCGATCCCCAGTACCGCAAAAAAAAAAAAAAAAAAAAAAAAAAAGGAATGTAAGAGTTGTGGGATTAGGGAAGCTTCCACCCAGATTTCAAAGGAAGGTCTTAAGACGCCAGGCAAGGAACCCCTGAAAGGGAAGTCTGTGAAATCATGGTAATGAAGCCAGATGTACAGGGAAGAGCAAAGTTGCAGGAAATCATGTTGTCAGGAACACGGAACATCCATCTTCCAAGGAAAGCTGGAGGCAGTGAGCAGAGGCAGCCCAAAGGGAGGTCATGTGGGCTACAACCAGCAAGGCCACCGACCAAGTCCTTTGGAGCTCACATTTTACTCCTGTGTGCCCCAGATGTCAGATATGGAGCTAAAGGACTTAACGTTTGCCTTGCTCAGTTTTGGTTTATGCTTTGGTTCAATTCTTTTCTATCCTTGTAGTCTTCCCTTCAAAATGTGCCATTGTACTTTGTGATTATGCACTGTAACTTGTTTTTGATTTTTACAGAGGTTCACAGCTAAAGTTTGCCCTATCAGAAGAGATTTTGATCTTTTTTATAAGTAGGGAATTTACTTCTGTTTTGGTTACATAAGATAGTTGCATCATGTTAGGCAGAATTGTGACCTTGTATTAATTTGGGGATTAGGTACCGTTTAAGAAAACCATGGATTAAATCTTGTGCCAGCATGAGCCAAGTTAAACATTGTCTTAGTTATTTTTCTCTCGTTGCTGAGACAAAATACCTGACCTCCAAAATTAAGGAAGGAAAGATTTATTTAGCTGACAGTTTGTGGAGGTTTCAGTCTATAATCAGCTGGCTCCAAGGCAGGGTGGCATGGCCCAGGGGCAACACTTCAAGGCTGTGGAAGACAGCAGAAGCAACAAGAGCCAAAAAAGGAAGAGCAAGACTTTTTTCCTCCCTTATACTGTAAGCAGGTTATCCACCCTAGGCACATGTAGCACCTACAGCAGCTCGATGCCCTTCTCTTGCAGAGGCTGAGGATGTTCAAAAAGTGAGGACCCTGGCCCTCTGCTGAGTCACTTAGTTAAA